AATGAAACACACTGGCACGGGACAAGGGGAGACGAGGACTATTTGACCACGAGAGGGAAGGGATGCCCAGGTGCAGACAATAGGTAATCAGGGAGACGCTCAGACTGGTGACACAACAGGAAGTGCAAGTGACCTGAAACGAGATGAGGGTTATTTTTCAAAATAAAACAGGAAATGACGAGACTAGAAAAAGACGAGACAAAAACCCCTCAACCAGGGCACCTTCGTGACAGTAACTTTTTCGATTACTTTTAAAAAGTAATGTAACTAATTACTTTTGATTACTTTTTGATTACTTTAAGGTTTTAATGAGTATTAACCCATGATTAATTTTAGCATGTTATCATTAGCTGTTGGCCGCAGCTAGCAGTTCAAGGCTAACGTCTTGTTAATGATCATAAACAACGTATATAAATACATGATAAATCGGAGACAAGGGGCGCAGCGACGGCAGGTCAGTCGTATCCGGATACAACATTTTAGTATGATACTTTTTTAAGTATCGATACTTTTGACAACCCTAGTCTGAAATGTAGGACATGTCTGGGAAAAAGAGGACGTCTGGTCACCCTACAGTTGGGTAGGCTAGGTAGTCTAGGCTAGGCTAGGTCATAGACATCGATAAACGTTTGTCATGCATAAACACCAAAAAGTCAAATATTAGTAAATCAATACGCTTCGTCTATCATTAATTTTCATATTTTGCAAAGGTTTTTCTTTATATTTTTTAAAAAAGGTAACTAAATTTGTAATTCTTTTGTAATATTTTCGGAAGTAACTGTAACTCAATTACATATTTTCTCAATGTAACTGTAACGAATTACAGTTACTCTTTTTTTGTAATTGAATTACGTACCGTCGTTACATGTAATCCGTTACTCCCCAACACTGCAAATGAGGCAGACAAAGCTATGAACAAAGCACGAAATAAAATCACTCCGAAATCAAAATCACTCTTACGAATAATAAACAGGTTCAAGGTGCAAGGCAAGGATTACTATGGGTTGGTTCAGCTCAGTACAACGTGGGACCAAAACAAAACACACTGGCACCAGACAAAGAGAAATGCGGACTATTTAACACATGAAGGGAAGGGAACCCCAGGTAAACACAATTGGTGATCAGGGAGGACATGCAGACAAATGACACACAGGGGAATGCAAGTGGCCTGAAACAAGCAAGTACATATCCCTGCAGGGCCTTTTGGACGTCCAACTCCGCCCATCCAAGGTCCAACTCCGCCCATCCAAGACTCGGCCATTTTTATTTTGATTACGTGATTACGTCACTGCCCGTTTTGATTACGTGATTACGTCACTGCACGTGATTACGTCACTATCAAAAAGCACTGCAGCCATGTGTACTTGGTTTAAGCTGTTTAAAAATTTGAAAATAGTGAAATTAATCTTGCAAACACTGAATTAAAGTCAATACATATTATTGTGTTAAAATAGTATGTGTTAACCCTCAATTGGACCCATTTCATTTTTTGTGTTGATCAAAGGGCTGGTTATCCTTTTTTGTCTTCATGAAATTAGGTGACTTTTCCCCATCTGGGGTCATGAACTTGTGTGTGAAATCTGGTCACTTTCATGTGTTGTGGGGGGGTCTGTGCAGAGTTTGTATACAAAGATGATGTTGCGGGTCATTTTGACCCGGCCACATTAATTCAATTCAATTCAATTCAATTTTATTTATATAGCGCCACATCACAACAACAGTTGTCTCACAGCGCTTTCCAAACAGAGCAGGTCAGACCCTACTCTGAAGTTAACTACAGAAACCCAACAATTCCCACCATGAGCAAGCACTAGGCGACACAGGCAAGGAAAAACTTCCTTTTAACAGGCAGAAACCTTGAGCAGAACCATGGCTCAGGGTGGGCGGCCATCTGCCTCGGCCGGTTGGGGGTGAGGGGAAAGAGAGAGCAAGAGAGAGAGAGAGGGCGAGAGAAGGACAGAAGGAGCAGAGAGGGGCAGCCAACACAGCAACACGTAGAATAGATTAAAAATGGCAATGATATTAATGCTAATGATGAGCAGGAACATGGGGGCAGCAGGAAACTCCCAACCACAGATCCAGACTCCACAGCTCTAGGAACACCTCCAGGAAGTGATAGGAGGAGACTCCCAACCACAGATCCAGACCCCACAGCTCCAGAGCCAGGAATATCTGCAGAAAGTGTTAGGAAGAGAGAGAAGAGAGAAGGGGGACGAGAAAGCACACGACTACGGGGAAGGGAGAGAGTCCAGTTAGTAACATTGTTAATGGAATGAGGTTGCACCGGGAGGGAGAGAGAGAAAGGAAAGGGGAGCTCGGTGCATCATGATGCATCCCCCGGCAGTCTAGGCCTATAGCAGCACAACCAGGGGTGGACTTACTCTAACTATAAGCTCTATCATAAAGGAAAGTCTTAAGCCTACTCTTAAATATAGAGACGGTGTCTGCTTCCCGGACCCAAACTGGAACCTGGTTCCACAAAAGAGGACTCTGATAGCCGAACGCTCTAGCGCCCATTCCAGTTTTCAAGACTCTAGGAACTGCCAGTAACCCTTCATTCTGGGAGCGCAGTTCTCTGGTAGGGCAGTAAGGTACTAAAAGCTCTTTAAGATAAGATGGGGCCTGACCATGAAGAGCTTTATACGTAAGGAGAAGGATTTTAAATTCTATTCTGGATTTACCAGGAAGCCAGTGCAAAGAAGCCAAGACAGGAGAAATATGATCTCTTTTTCTGGTTCCTGTAAGAACACGTGCTGCAGCATTCTGGATCAGCTGAAGAGTCCTAATGGACTTTTTTGAAGACCCTGATAACAAGGAATTGCAGTAATCCAGCCTAGAAGTAACAAAAGCATGGACTAGTTTTTCTGCATCATTTTTACACAGGATGCTCCTAATTTTTGCAATATTACGAAGGTGAAAGAAGGCGGTTCTTGAAATTTGCTTAATGTGAGAGTTAAACGACATGTCCTGATTAATGTGGGTAAGTAGCTGTTCAGATCCAAAAAATCCACCTCTGAGACCCAGACCAAGGTGTGAGTGAAGGATCTGGGTCTAAGGGTCTACATCACCACATCCATATTACTGCTGGTCAAATAATGCTGTGTGTGTGACGTTCTGGCTCCGCCCACCGGCTCTCAGTCACTCCTCTCCAATTAGCGACATTGGTCGCACCTGTCCCAGTCAGTACAAATACTCTGCTCACTCACTCACCTGGGCCAGAACGTCTCTATACATCCGTGTGAGTACTTCCAGCAATATTATTCTGCCTGCCTGCCTGATACGACCTGACTGACCCTGTTTTTCCGAGCCTGCCTGTCCCTCGTCTGATTCGTCTGCCAGCCTGAGATTTGCCTAGTCTGTCTCAGTGCCCTGCCTGCCTGCCCGTGTCCCCGACCCAGCCTGCCCGACTCCGCGCTCCCGTCTGCTCCTCTGGACTGCTTCCCCTGGCCTTGACCCTCGCTCGTTTCTGGACCACGCTTTGGATTACCCCCCTGATTAGTTGCTGGACTCTGACCACACGTTGCCGACCTCGCCTGCCTGACCACGCCCACAGGATTCCTGTCAATAAACCTGTTTGAACTGACCGTTTGGGTCCGCAGAACAGAACATTACAGTGTGTTTGGAAGGCCTGAGGAAAACAATTGTTTCAACATCCACACATTGTATCATGATACACTACATCACGTGCATGCATAAACACCAGACTTACTGTTAGGTGCTGCAAGTGCAGTATCAACCACTAAAACCTTTTTAACCCCCTACACCTGAATACCTGTTCAAGGGATTCCTCTGGATTTCCAGAGGAATTTCCTCCCCCATACATTGAATGTTGCTAAGAAAGAAAGAAGAGACCTTGTGAGGAGTATAGTACAATTATAGAATATTTTGTTTTTAGAATGGATTTACAGTTGTTTTGTTTTTTAATCCATCATACCTTTCCGGGTCTTCGGCTGGCAAGACATTAGATGCCAAAGCAGTGTCAGAAGAAACAAAGTGCAAACAGGCTCACAATACAGGTTTAAAATAAAGGATGCTTTGTCAGTATGACGAAGGCTGTGTGAAAATATCAGTTAATGAGAGTAGGAATACTCAAACGGTCATACTCTGTAAAACAGAAACAAAACCACTTATAAATAACTCATAGAACTGAAGTAGTTGTACACAGTTGTGGTGTAAAACAAACCACATCCATGTCTGCAACCCTACCTGCATGATGCACAGCATGTTTAAGGTGATTATCAATATGATATGATAATTTGTAAATATTCTCTGTAGAGAATTTGCAGCAGGGGCAGTTGAATATGCTGTCCTTGAGGTACTGCTGAATGGCTGGACGGTCTTTAAAGTGTGTTGAATGCTGAAAATCATGATCAAACCATGCATTACGCGTTAATCATCATAGTGGTTCTTTACAGGGCTTAAACATGCCTTAAACATTTGAAGATTCATCGGGCTGGTCTGCTGACAAACATTGACCAAAACATTTTTCTTTTTCTGTGCATGTACAGTTTTAAAAAATATTAATGATTATTATCTATGACAATAAGCTGTACTGTTCGCCAACATAGTCAAAACTTTTGTAAATGGACATTGTGTTACAAGTTAAACCGCTAGCAACTCTGCTAAGTATACTGATATGTGTAATTAACGTTAGCAGGCTAATAACGTTATATTTCTCAAGCCGAAATCATTTTAACTAACTGGCTTTTACTAATCTTGCATACTTTCTGTTGGGATCTGGGGAAGGCTGGCTGGGGTTCTTTCCCACTTCTTCCACTGGGGGGCTTCCTGGAGGTCCCTGGAGGGCGTGGTTTCACGGCTGCACACCTGAGGCATATCTGTCTCATTTGGAGGAGTATATCTGGGTGGAGCTGCCGGCACGCCCGTGCCAGAGTGTTTGCCAGTTTTGGTTGTTCCTCCGTGACGCCTTGGCCGCCTGACCCGAGTGACTAGCCGGAAGGTTTTTTCACCCCCTGGATTCCTGTTCCTCCGCTGACCAGCCTGCTCCGCTCCTCCCCTGAGCTCCGGCCTCGTGGACCCTCCAGTCCCGGACCTCCAGCCGAGCCTTCCCCTGTGAATCATCAAAGATCCAGAGATCCAGCCGCTGTCCGAGAGAAGGATAGATAAGGGACCTCTCACCATCTCCTGCCCATCCCTGCAAGTTGTTTTTCTAATAAACTTCCCCAACCTGATCTGCCTCCGGAGTGTGTTCTGCACATGTGGGTTCAGAGAATTGACCACACCATGACACTTTCGTGACACAAAAATGATAACGTTCTGTAATGTTCATTTGACATCACGGGGTGGATATTGCATAAACTCAATTTCACAAGAAACATCTTTAAGTAAAACAAAACAGGGCCTAGCACTAGCTAACATTAAATTGAAGGTACTCTACAAAACTACTACTTTTTCGTGCAAAAAACTAATGAACACAATAAACTAGATGGTCACATCGAATATCATAAATATTTCATCCAGCAGGGTCAACACAGTAATATCGTCAACATGAACATAAAATTATGTATTTTTCAGGCTTCTCTTCGTTTGCCGATTCGCTATGGCCAATAAAGTTTGTTTGCGCCTAAGAAAACTCATAGTCGCATGACGTCATCAAAATGGCCGAGTCTTGGATGGGCGGAGTTGGGCGGAGTTGGACGTTGGATGGGCGGAGTTGGACGTCCAAAAGGCAGCCTGCAGGGATAAGCGTCTCGAAACAAGGGGATGTACTTTTCAAAATAAAAAAGGAAATGACAAGACAACCATGGAGACAGGACAAAACACAAAAAAAAACCCTTGTGTGACAATGTGTTACTGTGTAGGCGGCCCCCCTCTGCTCCCTCTGTCCTTCTCTCCCTCTCTCTTGCCCTCTCCGTCTCTCACCCCCAACCGGTCTATGCAGATGGACGCTCACCCTGAGCCATGGTTCTGCTTGAGGTTTTTGCCTCTTTTGTCTTGGGTGACACTACTTTAAGCCCCAGACAACATAGCTCCTAGGATCATTGGGATACTCAAACCCCTCCACCACGATAAGGTGCCCAAGGAGGGGCTTTGTTATAACTATGTAAGAATATACAACTCATCAACATTACAAAAACCCTTGACTTTATTTAACAGGGACATCATTCAGCAGTTCCACATGTGTAAAACTAATGTTGACTTTGGATGTTTACAGTTATTCTGTAACGGTAATGTTATGGCCAGAACCCAAAATGCAGCCAAGACGAGGAGATGGTACAAAAAAATGTATTTAAATGTGGAGAGGGATCTTGAATACCAATTCAGCCAAACCCTCTCAGACGAGGGTTGTGGCTCCACTGTCTCTCGATCCAAAACTTCACAGATGGTCCAGAATCAGACACTGGAGAACATCAGAACCAGACAATCTGAAAGGCAACAAGCAAAAGCAGGCTCAGAGGCATGCAAAGTTCAGCAACAGCAAATCAGAAGTGCAGTAATCAGAAGGGGAAAGGCAAAACACAGTGGTTGTAGGCAGGCTGGGTTAGAAAATCACATGAAACTTGAAAATTCGTGACTGCTGTTGCAAAGGCAGATGATCTCACACTGAGCAGAAGCAGAGTGCATGTGTTTAAATAGGGAGCTGCATAGGTGAGGATAATGACTAATTAAGAGGGAGAGAGAGAGTGGCTGTGCCCACACGGCAAACCTGAATTCATGACATATGAATTATTAGTGGTAAGAGCAGTTTTATCCTATGTTCATTAAAGATATATTTACACACTGGTACTCACTGTTACTCAGCATTTTGGAAGACTGTAACACTTGTAGAATTCAGAGACAGACAACTTCAATTAAGACAGAATGACAGACCTTTTCCATGAAAGTGGATATTTAACATATAATTCTCGTACTAAAGTTATGTATCTGAAGGCTACATGTACAAAGCAGAATCGCCTTTAAAATCCCTTAACCAGTGCATAAATGCTTTCCATACCTCTGTAATTTTCTTCTGCTTGCTATAAATAAAACATGTCAAAAATGCATGTTGCTACTAATGTTACATATGTGGTTATTAATTGTATCCTCCTCCTAAATATTTAAGTCTAACTTCAAATATTTATGTGAGATCAGAGTTCCATCTTTTTTGCAGTAATGCCAGATACATGTCACCAACTATGTTATTTTGGACTACTTCCTAAAGTGAATGGCTTCAGCCTCAGAGAACTTGTCAGAAAGATATAAGCTTATCCACTTTCAACCCTGTAATCCCTACGATCTACACACAATGAACACACAATTAGGGACGGCCACAGAGCCCCGACCTATGCTGCCAGCTCAAGCTAGAAATCTTCGTCAGGTAGAGAAGGCAGGCATGCTACTAGCCTGAAGGCTTAATAGGAGCCATTATCATTGTTCCTCAGTATACACAGAAGCTTTGGTATGTTGCCACACCTCTACATGCCCTTCTTCTAACTACTGAAGTATTTTCAACGTACATCAGTGTAACCCTAAAAGATTTTGGCTGGCAGACATTAGTGGTATTCCAACTCCTCTTTGAAATATCTTCCAAACATGTACATTCACGGTAAATAAAATGAAAAAATATTGTTTGTAAGTGCGAACCACAAAATTAGTATTATAAAGAAAAATCAAACGCCTCCAATTATGCCCATCCACCATTACATACATGTTTAAATTGATGAGCTGTCGATGAGCTGTCGTGTAACTCAATTGGTTGTGCATGTACCCCATGGAGATATATGTGTGTGTGTGTGTGTGTGTGTGTGTTTGTGTGTGTGTGTGTATATATATATATATAGTTGCAGTCATTTTTTTCTTTATCTCACAATGTAAATATCTCACTGATCTTTGTCAAAACTACATGTGTGATGAGAGTGTAGCATTCACTTGAGAAATGTTTTTAACTAAGGACACTTGACTCATAATAGTTCATTTAAATGATCAATACTAAAACATTGATGACATCATGGACTGAACAAAAAAGATGTACTCAACTACTTTGTCTGAAAAGAATTGAAAATAATTTAAAAGAATATGAAAATAGCTTATTTCGTAAAAATACTATGTAAATGTGTTTTGAGGCAAGTCATAAGTGTGTCATTAGCTAAATAAAAATAAATTCTGAACAGCATGCTACTGTTGGTACTTTTGAAGATAGTTTCATATTTGAATACAGAAGTCTTTACCAGTGTTCAGTTATATTTCAAGTCATTCTTAGAGTTTATTAGTGGTAACTGTTTTTTTGTCTTCTTGATTTTGAAGATGTTTCTCCTCTCATCCAAAAGGACTCTGCAGTATATGAAACTATATATGAGGTGCAACTGCATTTCACCTCCATTACAGTAATGTACACATTTTGGACAGAGAATATATAGATGTTTTGAGAGAAGAGTAACAAAAGCCATCTATGACTAACGGAAAAAAAACAACTTTAAACGGAGGAGGGGGTCTCAGGTATCAACTTCAACAACAGCATAGTCCCTCCTTCCTATGCAGTTGCAAAGTAATTCGCACCTTGGACGCTGTGACAAAAACTTAGCCTTTTAGACAATTTACAGGTGACAACAATTCTTGTAACTGTCACATGAGGTAGAGGTTCAGACTGTAAGGTCCCTCTCTGCTTATTTGTTTAGCATTCCATTCATACCAAAGGCCTGTTACACTTTATACTTTAGAACTGATCAAGCCTCTCAGAAAAGGGGTTATATCTTTGAGATTTAAAAAAAAATTCAGTGCAATGTGCTCCCAGTCAACCTGTAAACGTCAAGGTTTGGCAATTACATCACCCATTTTAAGGAGAATTTACTATTAGCTACTTAAGGGTGAAAATAAAAATCTAGCTACAAAAATGTCTTTATGCTTCATGCCATTCGCGAATCGGAATCTGGGAATCGAAAGGCAACTTCAGCCTTCTACGATGAGGTAAATTCATACGTCTATGAGTACATTAAGAACTTAATTTATGACGTTTATTTACGACTGTGGCTTTGTTCCTTCCCAATTCTCTCATGTGACGTCGTTACCATGGCAACAGAAAAGCTGACTTGGCTGACGTGCATGTTTGAGTTGTTGTTATTGTTAATATGATAGAATGTTGTAATTAGGATTAAATAATTATGAGATCTTTTCTCCTAATTACAACATCCTGATCTTGTAATTATGAGATCTTTTCTCCTAATTACAACAAGAAAATGTATTACCATGTTTGGGTATTAAAGAGTTCCATGTTCTAGGTCCTTACACCTACTATATGATTACAGATCCCACTGTTTCTACAGTGGTTACAAGGCTTTTCAGAGACCATTACTCCATTACTTTGAGGATAGAAAGAGAGAGGCAGCCCCACTGAGATTTAATTCACTGCATGCTCTTGACCCAAATATAGGAATGTGCCCCACCTGAAGTTGAAAAACCATCAGGAGGTAAAGTATGAGAGAAAAACATACAGATTTTTTTTACTTCATTATATTTATATTTAAATACACAGTTTGAATGGCTTGTTCTGCTCTGCACAAAAAGGTTGTGTATTGGCAATGTAGCCACAGTAACAACAAAATGAATCTCTTTTTACAAGAAGTCTTTTAGGGTTTCCTTCCCTCACCAGTCTATAATCAGAGGACACCCATGGTTCAGCCATCAAAGCGGAATCAAGTAAAAAAAAAAAAGTCCACATTAGGCTGCCAGAGGCAGCTGGAGGCCATTGTTATTACTACAAGTCCTGGGGGAAGCCTTTAGCATGGGCTGAACTTTGCAAATGCTGTCTGCCGTTAAGAGGTTAGCTACTAATAGTGTAATCTTATTCTCTCCTAATGCTTTGTCAGTGTTAAGCAAAGACATATGCACTCTTTGAAAAAAATGTCTTCTTTGGAAAACTTAGAGTGTACTTGTAATCACCATGGTGACCACCATGTGAGTCACATGGTGTGAACTTTTCAACCCAATATACTCTCCGATAATTATTTGTGTGAACAGCAGCATAATAGACCGAATGTGTTTGCTTTGGTCACAAACAGTACAAATATCATTATATTATAGAAACTCCTGATTATCAGCCATAACAGACACCAATACAATTCTTTAAAAAACGATGCCTATGTCTGGTCTTTATTATTCTGCTGGATCCACATGTTGTAGTTCAGCATAACAAAGAGGGTCACTCCAGTCATTTTTGCGTTCCACCACATTTGAGTAGAAAACCAAACTGAGCAGTTTTTAAATGTATATATATACATATGTACATACAGAGGGAGAGAGAGAGATAAGGTGTCATCCAAAACTAGGGAAAGGAAAAACTTTTTGAAGTTGTAAACCTACACCCAACCTCTACCGTGGGTTAAAGGATTATATGGGAGAATGTAGCAGATCTTTTGTCACATGATAAGGGCCCATCCCACATACCCCACCCCAAAGCCAGTCCTCTATATCCTAAACACAAGCATGCACACACTGACACTGCATGTATAAAAATCCTTTGCATGAAATGGTATGTTTCAGGTAAATTGTACACTTAAAAAGAAATTTTGACATAAAATCAATTCAAATTAAAAAATCACTTTTAATCACAAGCTTCTATGCTGATCACAGTGAGATCTTGATCTTTCATCCTGAATAGAACTGGATGCAACACATTCAGCAGTATGAATGTATTCATACTGGCATTCACACATGCACACATTTAAGCTTTATTACATCAAATACATAGATACATTTGCAAATCTTACAATAAGCTTGAATCATGAAACATACACAGAGGGTGATTTTTCACTCTTCAGACAAGTCCTTTTTTGTGCCCTGGTCAGTGTAAAACTCAAAGTAATGTTAACTTGTGTTTCGCAAATGTGCAAATAAGTCAAATGTTACATCCTTCAGCTCTCTGAGAAGAAAGTGTAGGATCCACAGGAGCAGTGACTAAAATCCTGTCTACCTCCTGCACCCTCAAGTTAAATACAGATCAGCCTTTCATTTTCAAGTAAAGTGCTCCTCTTGCAAAAACAACATGGCATGAGATCCATCTCTTATCATATTTCACCACTGCTTAAAAAATAGAAAAATCACAAACTAATAGTTAAATGGATGAAAATGTTGGAATGTTTCGCATTTTAAAAAAAAGCTGAAGCAAATATTCAAGACAGTCCTGACTCTGAAAAGATGACAGTCACACAATTTCCACAGCGAGTCATACAAATTCCAGTTTGCCATGTCCACTGTACAATCTCCAGTGCACGAGAGACAGGATTTTGTTGCTACCAAGGTCAGCTTGCCTCATTTTGTCGCAGGTCAGACTGTAATTCTCATGGCCCATTACAGGCACCATACACTCCAGGTCTAGCTGGGCCAGGTGACTTTTCTTGGCATGGTGGCCATGGAAACTGTAGTGGAGCCGTGACAGCATCTGTTGTCGCTGATCGTGCAACTGCTTGTTTTCACTGCGCAACATTCTTAAAGCCAGCATAATCAGCAGGACCAGAATAAGGCCACCAGCAATGGGTACAGCAATTACAGCTGCCCTGAACCACACATCCTTGGTTGATGCCAATCCCTGAACCTGGGTAACCAAATTCCGATTGTTGCTCTCATACTGGTAACGGTCCCCTGCACAAGAAATAATCCAATTATCACATTGTCATTTCATAAATGTGTTTATACATACATTTATGTACATGACTAGAAACACAATTATGATCTTTTAATACAAAAACTGCTGTTTGCTCATCATATCATCTTGTACTTGTGATCTGTAAAGTATTGTACCTGTTGAGTCTCTAGTGTGTGCATGATCATGCAGGCCTCTGTAGTTGCACATGTCATCATGGCAACACTCCAGTGTCAAGGCCCCAGTCAGGATGTCGGCTACCCTTTGGCTGCTACTGCAGACGTCCACAGAATTTGCACTGGAGTCAGAACATCCATGAGTGAGGGGGGAGTTTTTATTTCGTGGGTCCTTGACCTTTGTGAAGCAAGTGTTCAGTTCTGATTTGCACATGTATCCAGTGGCCACGCAGTGCGGGGCATCACAATAACACCTAATTTCACCTGGAGATGGGGAAAAGGCAGAGTTAGAAAAAAAGTTAATAGTACAAGTTCTCTGAAATGCTACTTCCTGCATAACTGCTAACTGCTTGCAAATACAAAATAAAATAACAATGCAAGTTCTCAAACTGGGTTGTATAGGCCTTTAAGTGCAACTGTGGGGTTTCACTAGGTATAATCCTTTACAATTTGTCATATTTCAATAAAGCATGCCAGATTTGGATATTCAAGTCTTCCATGCCAATAAAACCAACCGTGTGGGAGTGGGTGCGCACTGTGCGGAATATTCTTTTTTCCCAGGTTGCACAAAAATTCTGTATTATTATTATGTTCTATCTGTATTCAACACCCCCAACAAGACCTGAAAAACTTAAATTGGTATTATTTTCCTCTGACACCATTATGATACATTTACAGGATCTGAATGTTTTTTATACGGACAGCATAAAGATAGTCAGATTCTGTGGCATCTGGGATTTTTTTGTTGTTTTAGCATAAAAGTGTTGAAAAATATCTTAGTTTTGTATTTGATTGAAAGGATGAAAAGCTGTTGCTAAAATATACCAGTCAAGGATTGAAATATCAGATATCCATAACAGTTTCAGTTCACGGCCGCATTCATTAGATCAGTGTTGTTCCTGTGAATGATTGGAGTAGCAGGGCTCAGACAGGTCATTTGGAGAATATTTCATTAGAAAGGAGAGGCCCTTTTGTGGGCAGGAGGGTTGGATGGGGGAGGGGGCGGACGACACAGTCCAAAACTAAAGCACTAAAGCTTTTTAGTCCTGCTTAGTCTTGTGTTAATCATAGTTGCAAAAACACTTTTTAAATGGGCTATTCAAGCGAAACAGTCACAATACGTGATTAACGGTGGAAAATAAAAGTGGATCATAAAAACCGAGCTCAGCAAACACTGCAGGAGTCTTATTCTTGTTTTTAACTGTCTGGTTAGGAAATCCCATCCATAACGACAAAAACAATCGTTTCACAGTCGCTTACATTCTCAGTACCCGATTGTAAAGCTAAGATCTACGGTACTTTCAGCAGGTGACGTCGACAAAAAACACAAATCTGGGAAGCATGAGCACTCTGCCTTCTCCGATTTGAGTTTACGTTGTGTTATTCCCAAAGCGTTTTCCTGATTTTGAGAAGCAAACAAGCGTCTAAACGTACCTTTAGTCAGAAGAAAAGCAAAGGCGCACAGTTCCAGTTGAAGCCAGATAGAAATTAAACTTGGCTGGCGATCCATTTACACCAGATTACTGTACATAAAAGATATTGTATCCAGTAGCAGCAGAGAACGCTGGACAGAGATCCACAAGGGAAAATGTTTCAATAAAGCTGCAATGAAAAGCGAGGTTTTCCTGCTTTGAAACAAGACAACCCGAAAAACTAACAGTAAAATACTTCCTATCCCACATGGAGACAGAGAAGTCAGCAGATGTCTTTTAAAAGGCGGTCCGACATTGCCGTCGCACGTAACATTGTTCTGCCAGCCCAAAGAAAAATAAGTGTAAAATTATCCTCCTTGATACTAAAAATTATTTCTCAACGATTGCTCTCCTCTACTTCGATGTGAGTGGTTTAGCAGTAGTTCGTCTTCCTTGAAGGAAAAGGGTGAACAAAATAATAATTAAAAAATAAGCAAGAACAAACGAAAAACAGAAACAAAACAAAACCGACAAAACTTAAAAGAGACTAGTACTCCAAAAAACGTCGGATGGGCACGATTTAAGAGATGAAATAATTCGCTTCTAACTGAGCTCCGCCCCTCTTGTCTGATTGGAAGACAGCAAAAGGAGAAGTTTTTTTGTGACATCCTGTTTTGATTTTTCAAAATAATATGTGTCAGCCTTGTCTATCACACTTGATATACAGGACAATTTAGCTATTTTTAAACACTTGAAAGTAGGATAACACTTTCAGTCAAAAATTAATCGAGCTATTTCAGAAGAAATTTAGAATGAATCTGCTTTTCTCTAAGCATTTTAGTAATGAAAAGCATGATTTCCACTAAAAATGTAAGGATACTATTGACATATGAGCTATATATCCATACTGTGGATGGCACTGATCCAGACAAACAATCGTTCACGAGGTTACCAACTAACATAGATATTGTTAGTGGCCTTTTGCCTCGCATTTTGTTATCAGCAAACAATTCAAACAAACGAATGTGTATTTGGCAGCATAAAAAAATACAAAGATAATAACTATACCAAAAAATAAAAAAAACGTTATTTACATATCAAACAATGAAATAAGTTTTTACGAAATATATTTTAAAAATCAGTTATATCCTTGGACGGAGATAAAATACCTTGTTTTTATAAAAGGAAATGACGCATTGCTGCAGTACGAACTTAGACACGTTTGACCGGTTGCGGCAACTTGCTTTGTAATTGTTGTGGCTGTGGTAGACAGCCAAGATGACGCCGATCTGTCCCGCCGTCCTTTAGTCTACTGCAGTGTTGCTATTGTGGTAGGGAGGAGCAAACGGCCTCTTACAGAAATTAGCAATCTAAAGAAACACATGGCGCCACCGAGACGACTGGTATTCCTGTCGCCGATTTCCCCCACTCCTCACCGAAAGGAAACAGACTGTGTATTATATTACTTTAGAAACAGGGCCATTGAAACCTTTACCTACGTGTAGATGTGTAATGAACCAACACATGCGCGTTCCACTGAGTTTATTTCGATTTCACAGTAAAACGATAATTATTGATATTGGTAGCAAAATCATTTGTAGGATTGCGGAGGTCACCAGAAAGTTCTAAAAACTCAGTTCCATTCCTGCCTGATAAAATAAAAATAAATCTAAAGGCAAAAAAAAACTTAGTGATGATCCTGCTTTATGGAATTTGGGAGACTAAAAACTGCAATTACCACAATTATGTGCAATTACACTGAGGCGCCAGCCCACAGCTGGTGCTTCTGCCCTACCTATGTACACACGTTAGTGAAGAAAGCGGAAGGTGACAATGATTGATAATGCTGAATCTGCTCATTATCGTGCTTCGCTGATATTACGCTATAACTGTAGGAGAACTCAGTGACATAATAAGCACGCTCCATGCCATTTTAATTCTCAACTTGTCTACAGTCAACACATGGTACACATGTTTTTAAGAATATGAGAAGTGTTCCATTCATCTACAGTGAGAAGCACGATAGAAGTGTTTTTGGCAGCAGAATATTACCATGTAGGTCTCAAAGTAATGCTTCCCCCCCCCCCAAACCCTTCAAAATGTGATTTGGCTGTTGACCTGATAATTTAATGTGAGATTCAGGACAATGTAAAAACTGTACAGTAAAAAAGAAAATACATGTTCATGTGGATTGTCCTTCAATACTTAATTAATTTGACAATATAATTTTCTGAAGAGAAGTTTGCTTCTCCTTCCTGCCCTGTTTCATCAACAATTCATTATAGATAGGTTGAAACCCAACTGAAATATGTCCCCAAGGAAATGTTAATCCCCACGATTCTTTTCATAACATTAAGTATATTTTACTATGCATTTTACAAGCAACATAATACTGACATATAAATTAGATATGTGAGATTAACCTTTTCACAGTAAATAGAGTTTTAAAATTTGTGTTTGTTTACGCACAAGAAAGGGGTTCATACAAAATGCTTGATAACATTTTTTGAAGTATGATCAAACCCAATAAATCATGTCTGTTCTCACTCATCAACAGTATGGACTTAATAAAAGCTTGATAAATAAAAGGCTTAATAAAAGACCCCTGTAGCCATGCCAATGGTGGCAAGTCAAAATAAGATGCTATGTTTATTTTTTCTAAATGTCCCAAATTTACAACAAGCCTCTTAAGGAGGTTTGAATATTGCTAATATACATATCAACATATGATTTGACTCTAAATGTCTATGACAGCTGCCAACCAGGGCAGACAGGCTTCCTCCAACACTGTGTAGAAAGCGATAATGTAATAATGGCCAATAATGTAATACCTGCTGTACGAGCTATTTCTTTGTTTTTTTGTTTATTCTTTAAGTTTAGTTTTCGTTTATAATTTGATGGATTTCTAATTACTATTTTTACTTAAATGTTCTTTAGAATACATTTTTTGGTTTGTAATTTGCATACACACACACACACACACACACACACACACACACACACACACACACACACACACACACACATATATATATATATATATAATTTATCCGTTGTGAGATCCCTAATGGGGTCACGGGCAGAACTGGAGCCTATCCCAGTGGTCGATGGGCGAGAGGCGGGGTGCACCCTGGTCTGCCAGTCCATCGCAGGGCCACACACAAGACATTTGGACAAACAAACACTCACATTCACTCCTAAGGGCAGTTAGAATGTCCAATCAACCTTACATGTAGGTTTTTGGACTGTGGAAGGAAGACGGAGAGCCTGGAGAGAACCCATGCAGACAGAGGGAGAACATGCAAATTCCACCCAAACCCAGAACCTTCTTGCTGTTAGGCGACGGTGCTAACCACCACACCACCGTGCCGCCCTATATATATATATTTTATTATTATTATTATTACATGATATGATTTAGGCAGTTCTTCTGGGTTTATGATTCAACAATCTCAAATCTGTTGATGCACGGGAAAGGCTGTGAAAAGCTTGGAATCCATCATTGCTCTATTGTAGCTGACAGCGGGAGGTAAGGGCAGCGCCCACAAGCCATGATGAACGCGCTTGCCTTTCTTGAACGACAGCAAATGATTGCAAAAGCAATGTAAACGACAACAGTCATACGATTGGACTTTGATGATAGCAATCAGTGTAACAGTACAAGTTTGTCAGTATGATGATGAAGAAACACTGAATGAAAGGTGTTGCACCTTTACACACAGCAAGTGGATTTGAAGTGATGAAATTACAAGCAGTTTAAAGTGTTTGTACCAAAATGTCTGATGTAAGAAAAGAACAGAAGTTTCATCCAAAAGAAGCATCACATTTACAGAGAAAGGCTGAAGTCCCAGTAAAAACAAACCAAGATCAAAGGAGTGCAAAACTCATGCAAATTAGACAAATAACTGATGATATCAATAATGAATGATGAGTAAAAATAAAATGTTGACTCAGTAAATTATCCGATTGCTACTTTAATTTGTTATCATGATGCAGAGGTGTCGCATAAACAGTTCACAAGTTTGCCACTCCCCTCTGATGAAATTAAGAAACAAAATGAATACTTTGAAAGTAAAATTAGTTCTTATCTTGAATTGTCTAACTGCTTTCAAAACAGCTCTGCAGGAGAAAGCTGGGCTGGGCTGATGCTGTCCAACATTGTTTCTCCAAACAAAGGACCAACTGGCTGGATCATCTAAAGAGGATATCAAGGTTTGAAGTGGATCACTGCATTAAGCCTAAAATTTTTTGTCTAGTTAAAGCACAGGTCCACCACTTCTCTGATGTCAGCCAAGTGTGATATGGTACCTAAGATTACAAAAAGAGCATCATGTGCACCTAGCAGTGCTCCTATGAAAGGCCAGAGTTGTTCCTCTCAAGCAGATGACAATCCCTGGTCTAGAGCTCACTGCAGCTGTTCTTGATGTTCGCATGGACCAATTGATTCATAGAGAGTTGCATCTTGAATTTGACCCAACTTTCTTCTGGACCGACAACACCACCGATATGAAATACATCTGCAGTGAAGCAAATATGTTTCACACCTTTGTGCAAACAGAGTGTCCGTCATCAGAGAAGCTACGCAAGTTGACCAGTGGAGATATGTGAGTTCTAAAGATAATCCAGCAGAAGAAGCATCAAGAAGGATAAAAGCAGAGGACTTCTTGGGGCATAGCAGATGGATCAATAGCCCTGAGTTCCTGTCTGAGACTGAAGATAAATGGCCTAAGTTGGAGGTAAAGCAAAACTGACTTCCTGCTGATGACTCTGAAAAAAGATGTGACTGTCAGTGCTGTCGAGAAGGTTAAAAGTCCTACCATCATCTCCTACTTTTCATCCTGGGTGAAGCTGAAAACGTCTGTAGCTTGGTTATTAAACCTCAAAGAACTTCTCATTCTGCTGTATGGGAAAAGAAATAATTTTCTTCCATGATGCATCAGTTTGGGGAAGATGCATACGCCAAAGAGCAAAAGGTGGCACAAAAGATGCAACAGTTTAAAACTATGCTTAAAAAACAGTGTTTGCCATTTGATAATTTAGCGAAGCAGGGGCATTTCATCATTCAGTTTGATCAACATCACAGGTTTGGACCTGAGATTTGCTCACTCAGAGCCAATAAGATGGTCTCTAAAGACAGCCGGCTCTACAGACTTGATCCAGTGGTTGACAATGGAGTCCCAGAGTGGTCCTTCAGATGTCTCAAGAGACATCTGAAATTAAACATCCTATTATTCTGTGTAAAGACATGCATCTGGCAACATTAATTTTGTGTTACAATCACCCTCTTGGTCACAAAAAGAAGAAACCATATTATGTCTAGACTGCATCAGAGATACTGGATTGTCAATGCAAACTCTGCTTCCATAAAAATACTGTCTGACTGTGTGACCTGCAGACGAAATAGAGGAAAAACATCTGGCCCCAAAAATGGCCAAGAAAGATTAGTTCCAGACCAAGTTGATTATTTTGGGCCCATTTGTGCCAAAAGAGGCAGAAGCAAAAGGTATGGAGGGATATTTACTTATTCAACCAGTCATGCTGTTGGGCTCAGACCCTTGCTGCTGATTCTTATGTTAATGCAATTCAATTATTAATCTGTAGAGGTGGCCCACCTTCCTCCATGTGATCAGATAATGGCACAACTTTTGTGGGAGCCAACAGAAAACTGAAAAAGAGTCTGACCACCTTCAACCAAAGCAAAATCCAAAGAGGTCCAGGATGGCATAAATGGAGGGATTTAATAAACCTAGAGCTTCACATCAAGGTGGCATTTGGGAACAATTAATTCATTAAGTAAAAAGTGTACTTGCCTCAGTTTTAAAACAACAGTTTGTGGATGATGAAGTACTGCAAACTGTTTTCTGTGAAGCTGCAGCCATTTTGAATGACAGACCCATTACGTTGGACTCCAATGATCCAGATGATTTAGAACCAAATAACATCCTCATGCTAAAGAGCAAACCTGTTACGTATACCGCCTGGATTGTTTAAAAAAACAAGACCTTTATCTTAGACAAAGATGGAAACAAGTACAGTGTAAGGCTGAATTATTTTCAACCTCTGAGTCATTTGCCCTTGATGCAAGAAAGAAAAAAGTGGATGAGAGCAAGAAGAAACCCGTCTCCTGGAGGCATTGCCCTGATTGCAGATGCCACTGCACCTAGAGGAAGTTGGCAGATGGGGAGTCCTGGCAGTCAAAGCTGATGCATGAGGCCTGGTTCGTTCAGTGCAACTTCAAACCAAAACCAGTATGTTGGAGAGGCCAATGACAAAGCTCTGTCTGCTTCTGGAGGCATCTACAAACTAGAGACATTTCTTCAATTCTTTTGTCTTTGATATTTTTCCAGGTTCATCGCAAAAAGAAATCAATTGACTTAACTATCTTCTAGATAGCATATAATTGAGGTTGTTGTAAGAATAGCTCCCCTTATTTTTTATTTAATAATGATAAAATACACAATTAGGGGCTGGAGTGTGGGAGCTATTTCTTAGTTTTTTTTTGTTAATTCTTTAATTGTAGTTTTAGTTTTTGTTTATATTTGGATGGGTTTCTAATGAGTATTTAAAATTTTGCCAGCTAAACTTTCATTTAATGTATTTTTTTTGTAAACACTGTCATGATCAGTGACTCTACTAACCTTTTTTAACTAACCCTTCATAAAAAAGTTGGTCTTTTAGTGCAAAGGGGCAACCAAAAGTGTGGAAAATGTTAACCAAATATAAGACAAAGTATGTTTTCTGAACAGAAGTTTTTTTTTTTACATTTTATAATCATGAAATATAAAATCATTCAGTCTACCCACTGCGAAAACACAATTCAATTTAAGAAAAAAAACCCCCGTTAAAAATAAGTCAAATAACAGTAAGAAAATCTTAAAAAACATCAATTTTCTCAGACATCAACCACCAGATTACTTTGAAATAAATGTGCCTGCACTAAGAGGGGAAGAGTATTTGAATATTGAACATGAAAATTAAAAATTTTTTTTTTTTTAGCACGACTTAGATGTATACACATCAGTAAATTAATAAATTACAAAATTACAGGGACAATTACCAATTTCATAGTTTGCCAATAATTTATGCTTATCCTACATTTCCAAACATGCCATTCAAGGTTTTAAGGGATGATCAAACACGCAAGCAATTTATCCTGGAGAGGAACATTTTATTTCATTTGTCAATATACTTCAGGAACCAATATACAAAGCAATGATGTGGACACTGCTAAATGTGTGGTGAAGTTCAGTTCAAGAGACTGAATGATTGGGTAGGGAATACATAGGTTTTCGAGACTGATGACCCTTTACAGCAGGGCACAAAAACTGAGGGGCGGATGGAATATTTGCCAACGACCTTGTGAGGGACATGCTTGTTGAAATTAAGATGGAATGAAAAACAAAAAAAAAGCATGGGGTCTGGAGGTAAATGAGGCTTAAGACTTTCAACAAGGCACTAGCATAAAACAAAAAAAAAAGGTCTAACATTGAAAGATAAAATAACCAGTGCTCGCTTTAGTTTAACATGTTTATTACAATATTACATTTCACATTTGAGCTTTGACCCCTTCTTGCCCTGTGCTAAGGAAATGTTCCACATACACCCTCTGACCTGCTGTAGCTTTACTACTACATCTGGGCACTGATGAAAATGTGTGGATCAGCAGTGAATATTACAGCTTATCTCATAAATAAAACCTTTTGAGTCATTTTCCTCTTAACACTCCAGTTTTTCTTAGTGTTTGTACAAAGGAATGAAACAGAGGCACCACCTCAATTTGAAAACATAAGGAGGGAAAATGAGGGGAAAAAAAGCAGAAACACAGAAGTGAGGACAAAACAAACAAACATAAAAAATCCACAGAGGTTGGCAGCACTAAAATGAGGACAGGGCTAGGTTGGGCCAGGATCAGGCCAAGGGAGGGAAGCAGGAATGGTCCAGAGCAGCATGCCATTACACTCCATGTTCTTCATAACACTCATCCCACAATCCAACAGGCACTGTATGATCCCATCCTGAGTGGGTAATGCATAGGCCCTAGCAAACAGATCACTGAACCATTGAGAGCAGTTACCACAGACCTGTTGAGAGAGGATGTTTGCAAAGCTTGTGCACATTACAGATCACCTTGAGAGAGTGGAGGGAAGAGAATCTAGACAACAAGAGTTTATTAAGATTTGAGGATAAACATAAACTACACTGACATCAGTGCATTTGTATTTATGCTGGGGTTCTGTGTAAAGAAAATAGCTTCACACATCCTCCTCTGTTTACATGCTGGTCACATAAACACATATGCAATGGTTCAATGATCTAAGAATTGAGAAATTAAGCTTTAAATCCGGAGATGATTTAACATGAATGACAGGCTATCTTATGACTGTAGGCATTGATTAATCTGGATTTCGAAAGCTTTGATAGGCATGGCTTTCCATGGCTTCAATCTACAAAACATATTTACAACATAGATAACATCTACAAGAAATCTACATTTTCTTCCCCATCCAGAGTTTTTACAAAACCAATTCCTGTCAATCCACCCCTACCCCTCCTCCACCAACAGATCCTCAATTTTCCCTCTTGTGTCCCAGTCCAATGGGCCAAAGCCAACCCGATCTTGTGTATGCGTGTGTTTAGACTGGGTTCAAGGGTAACTGAACGGCTCTCATTCCAGACTCCAACTATGTGCAATGGGTCCCGCTACTACGTCTGTCCTGCCCACTCCAACTCAAAACCATAAGTTCTCAAACCATAAAGGAATTCTGATTCTTCAACTTTTCAAGTTCTTTGATTTGCTGTCTCAAAAACAATATCCTGAAAGAAACAAAATAAGAATTACTGGCAAAAGGTCTATAATACATTAAAAGGCAATCTACTAGATATATAGGTATCCTTACCTCTGCTCACGCAGTGTTGCTTGTATTTCACAGACTCTGACCAAAGACCGCAGATTTTTTAACTCAGTGCAGTTCTCGGACATGCAGATACTGCCCATGGTGTGAGCCTCTTCACGCAATCTTGATGCCTTTCATATGTTTGAAACAAATGTCTTTTTATGCCAAGTTGCAATTAATAACAACTGTATCAAAGAAAAATATTTGAGGGCACTTCGCCACTGACCTGCTTCTCTACGTGTTCAGCTGGCCATCCCTGCACATGTTTGATAAGGTTTTCATTGAAGTGTGCAGCAAGTGTGGGGGTAAAAGAGCAAGAGGGTCGGGCTACTGAGGCTGTTGGGGGAGCTGAGGCCGAGCAGGTGATGTTGCTGCTGCTGGAGGCGACATGGTTGGGTCCAGGGGAAGGACTGCGCTGACTGCTAAATTTCAAAAGGTAAGGGAAGCTTCATTGGCGGTAATGTTAAAACATGCTTAATTCTTATGCCTCAAGTCTAATGTGGTTAATAAAGAAAAATGTAAGTGATACATAAAATCATTCTAGCATCTATAAACTATTGATACATAAAAAGAGGAAATACTTTATCAGTGGAATGGTTCACGCTAAAAAGCTACCTTTAAACTAAACATGTTCAGATACATTTGAATTTGTATAAATTAAGTAATTCCTAAACACTGAACCAGACATATTGAGAGCATTAGAGCTAATAAAAAACCCCAACAACACTCAGATACCACCTGATATCAAATACTGGTATACAATCAGACAATCATCACTAGTTATACCAATAACATTTAATTTATTTTTAGGAGGGATAATTTGTAAGTCTCTGTGACATACAGACAGAACAGTCCATGTGCCAGCTATGTAAAATGTATACTGAGAAGGATGGTTAGTAACCTGCACCTATAAAAAGCAGCCTACTGTCACTCATTTCCTCCCACTTTGCTCAACAAAGGCAGATTTTTACAAATGAAGTCAGGATTCAAACACTGCTAACTACTTACAGGGTGAGTGTAAATTATTTTAAACAATTCAGCCCACACTGCTGCGTGAAGTTCCAAATGCATATGGAGACTGAGAGGGAATGGTATGTATGACAACAGAGTCATTAGCACAGGAGCACCACATGAAACTTTGGTTCCAGTGTCTCATCTTCAGTATGTGTGTGACATCCTGTACAACTGCAAGTTAAGTCCTGTCATCTAAAGAAGTACACAGATAGTTGATTATTCTGGGGAGATCCAGTGATGGTAAAGAGGTCGAGCTGCATGCTGCATATTGGAACAGTGTAGGAATTGAACAAGAATGAGGGCCACATCCCTCATTGGGATGAGCCAAGTAGTGGCCTAAATCAATGCAAGTCTGTTTCTTGTTTTTCCTATCCATACTCTCTGTCGTTGCTGTGCAAGACACGATTTTTTGGATGAAAATTATATTTTTAACGAGATTACAAGTTGAACTGGCTGTCTTTGGTTTTAATTTAGTTGAATTTGAGTTCTTTCAAATTTTTTGCACTTCCAATCCGATACCGATATTGTATTTGCACTTCCGATCTGATACCGGCCTATCAGAGCATGTATTAAAGTTTAAAGTTATTTAGCATACTTACTCAGTTGTCGGACTCATGTTGAAAAGGGATTTACTCTTATAACAACTTAATGGTTATGACGCAGACCTGTGGGTTAAGAGATGCTAATGCTCGTGTGGGATCCGACTAAAAAATTATCAAAATTTTTGTGACAGACACTAAAATCTAAAGATTAGAGAATAATTAATGCCACAAAATGAGTAACTTCCAATATCAACCATTTACAAGCAATTGATCGAACACTACACACTAAAAAGCATAAAGCACAGTTTAAAAACTCAATTCAGGAAGTAATGGGAATGGCCAGATATTTCAGAAAAAAACTGCACTTTAGAAACTAATTGATACATTTTCTTTTATCAGAAATAGCTGTGTTGCGATCTTAATTTAAATTTGTCCATTATTGCACTATGGTTATATTGAAGTTGTACTGAAATATTCATTCTGAACATATACTGACCCTTGGCGTTGGAGGGTACGTGGAGAGGCTGTGTTGACATCATGACTGTGCAGCTTATCACTTGAGATGGGTTGCTGGGATGGGGGCTGGGAATGAGACAACTGTTTCACTGATGGTGTATTCACCTGTAACACAAATGAGCAATGCAACATCAATAAAAAAAAATAATTGCAGTTTTTGTCCAACTCATTAACAATTAGTGGTCATTTTTCAAGTCAGTATGATCATGACCACTTATCTGCATGTAACTAACCAATTTCAAGTGTTTGGTTGAAATTATCCATAAAAAAATTACATTACAACATCGAAATCAGTTGTTTTTCCTTCTTTTTTTTTTTTAAACTTAGCATAGTCAAAGTTGTAAATTAGAGAATTCAGCCAAGCAGATATTTTACGGCAAAAGTGAATGAGAAAAAAGATTATTACATTTTTTGAACCGCTTATTCCATAATGGGGTCGCAGGGAGAACTGGGGCTTATCCCAGTGGCCAATGGGCGAGAGCACACCCCGGACAGCCCGCCAGTCCACACAAGGACAAACAACCACACACACTCCTAAGATCAATTTGAAATGTCCAATCAACCTAACATGCAGGCTTTTGGACTGTGGAAGTCAGAGAACCCGGAGAGAACCCACACAGACACAGCGAGAACATGCAAACTCCACACAGAAAAGTCCTGGGTCCCCCAGGACTTGAACCCAGAACCTTATTGTTGCGAGACGATGGTGCTAACCACCACACCACCGTGCCGCCCGGACCAGAGCTTATCCAATTCAATTTAATAGGGGAGACGCATTAACAAAAAGAATATCAAGCCAGGCTGGAATTGGCTAAAAGGTGCCACTAAATTTCTAGAACTAACATAGACAAAGGTTAGCCTTTAACAAAATGATGGGAAGTTTGGAGAAAAAACAAATCCACTCATAACACCAAATATACAAGCTCATCTGTAAAACCCAGTAGAGATGGTATCATTTCATTAATTTGCATGGCTACTTTTTGGGATGAGATCATTAGCCTTTATTCATCAATGATGTAACACATATTAGCAGCAAAATTAACTCACAATTCAACAGAAACGTTTGGTCTGGCAATTTAAAGAGGAATACAATCTAATAGATTGAAAAATACTTCATTATTATATATATATATATATATATATATATATATATATATATATATATATAAAATTTTATTTGAGTATCGTTTCTCCCCACTTGTCTGTGTGAATGCAAGTGTGTGAGCAAATGTGCATGCACGGATGACTGTGGATGAGGCTAGGCTTGATGTCCTCTGGGCTCCTTGAGCTGTTCCGGGTTGGCGGAGAATGGGGCTCAACCCCTCCTTGCCTCCTCACTGCTTGCTACTGTGCTCGCCTGTAGCCAGATTGGACTCTGGGGCCCTTTACTAGGGACCCTGGGGTGTGTGTTAGCCCACTCTGGCTGGTTGCCTGGGGTTGCCATCCTCTTGGATATCAGGCAGACCCTTTGTTGGGGGCGCTGGGGCAATTGGGGCCCTGAGGCACTCAGGCCAAGCGAGGCTGGTAAGTTTTCACTCCTGGTTCCTGGGGGCTCTGTCCCAGCCCTACTCTGCTACAGTCTGGGTGGAAGGAACCTTGTGGTGGGCTTGCTGACTTCTATGCTTTGTGGGGCTCCTGGTGTCCTGTGTCATATGGACATCTCTGCCCGCTCTGAGACCCTGGAGGGGGTCGGAAGTGTCCCTTTGCACCCATCGGTGAGCACAATGCATGTAAGACCTATACCACATTTTGTGCATGTTCACTTGCAAACGCACAATTTAGTGCTCATGATATATATTAGCTTAGCTGAAAGTTATGTGTATTAGTATCAACAAGTTTGTTACATGTTCTTGCTGCTGGTGTTATTGCTGTAATTTCTCTGTTAGGTTTGTCTCTTGTCTCTGCAGGTGTTCATGATTATTTCTTTCCAGTTTCCCCCCGTCGAGGCCTAAGGAGGATTTTGGTATCAGCAGGTTGTTGGGGTTTGATACTTTGTTCTATATATTTCTCTGTTTTTGCATTTTCTGTCCAAACTATCCCACCCCTTTCTCCCCCCAATCATGTTTGGCATCAGATTGCATATAACACGTTAACAGTAATAAATCAGTCAACAAGCTTTGCGCATCGAGAGCCATTTTTAATATAAAATCTCCCTTGAAAAAGAGAATGTGTTTGGCATAACTATGGCAGTCAGAGAACCATTCTACTTGCCATGATGCTTGACAGGACAACGGAAAAGAGATAATGGGCAAAAACAAAAGCTAGACGTGGCCAGGTCAATCTACAGATTTACACCCTATGGAAGAAGCATTTTACCTGCCAAAGTAGAGACTGAAGGTAGCAACCCATCAAAACAAACAAAAACTGAAAATTGCTGAAATAAATCCATATCTCAGAAATGTGGTGAATGAGTCACAAGCTTTCTGCAGTTAATGCTAATTTTTAATCAAATACTACATCTTTTTCTCATATCTCAATTAAGTCTATTTGCGCATATACTTTCCTCACCTAAAAATCTGATGTTTCATTGCTAAAATGCAATACATGTTATTTTTCAGATCCTGCTGTACAAGCTAAGTTTAAAGCTAAAGTGTTGATATTTCATCTCAATCTTTTGTGGTCAAAGTAAAATGCGTTCTGGCAACAGCAACACAAAAAAAGGTTCCACTGTTTCAATTGTTGTGAAACAGAGTATGTATGATGCGCATGTTATGGCTTACTTTTGGCTGTGAGATGATGGGCTGTGTGTTGAGTAGGGGCTTTAAAGAACCAGCATTAGCCTGTGGTGTGCTGATCCTTGGGGAGACGTAAGATCTTGGCGAAGAGGCGTCTGATGTTAAAGACATTGGTGACTGATTTGATTGTTGAACTGCTAAAAAAAAAACAAAGAAAAATCTTAGTTGTGCACAGCACCATTCAACAGACTAAAAAAAACATAGTGCCACCAAAACACACAGTGGTGCAATTGAAAAATGTCTACACTGATTCATTACCTTGACTAGACAGTTGAGCAGCCTGAGAAAGAATAGTGGTGATGTTGAAGGCTGATGGTCCAGCAGTGAGGATCTTGTGGAGCATAGACTGTAATGAAGCTTGTGTGACAGCAGCTGTGAGAACTACAAAAAACAAAACAAAACAAAAAAACAGCAAATAACACACTGTTGGATGTGATTGCTTCTCCACAGTGAATCTGATTTTAGGAATACTAATAGGAATATTCTCATGAAATCAGTCAATCAAATGAAAATTTCAATTTAATCAAGAAAGGTTATGCTGACTTTCGTTTCAAGTATTGTGCATTCCGAAATAATCCTTATTGCACATGCCTGTGATGTAAAGCATATATCATGCCTGAAATCAGGCCCTTTACATTACAGTTGATGGAAGACATTGCAGGATAAAAATAAAAACTGGTCCGTTTGTGATATCAACATATTGCATAAAAATCTTTAATGAAATTAAAATAATTAAACAACATGTTTGAAACAACAGAAATATTAAGTTGTTCAAGAACAAAAGTAAAAAATGTAAAAAAAAAAAGATGTTTTAACGTGAGCTAGGTAAATGCACATCATAATAAGAATAACCTTTTCATGTTCCATGTAAACAGTACACTTCTGGTCAGAAGTGCAACATCATTATGGAAATTTTGCACATGTAAACATTGCAACTGAAAAAATGCCTTTGGCATAAGTGTATATAGAACTTTTAAAAAAAATGCTAGACGTCAAAGTTTGTGAAGACATGGCACATAGCTAGTATCAGTACTATATCTTACTGCTTTTTAAAGTATTAATGAAAGTTAATATTAATTTGAGAATGTACTTTGATGAGCATCTAATTTTTACAAAAAAAAAACACTTAACTCTTTCAATGCTGCAATCTGATGAATACAGACTATCAACCTGATCGTTGCAGTAGGAATATTATTTTTTCCCTGTCTCCACAGACAGGAGAAAGAGACTGCAAGTATAATGTATTCAGTGCATCTACATTTTCTCTTACCTTCATTTATTTTGGCCATGTCCACACTGGCATTATTGAGCTGCAGGGCAGTCTGAAGTGCTGGGAGAAGCTGGCGAAGTAGGGTGGGGTCTTGTAGTAGCGTAGGAGCAGGGGACTGAAGTATTGGGGATACAGGTACAGTGGAAACTGATGATCCAGGTGGTCCTGATAATGGGTTTAAGCTACCTAAGCAAGAAGATGATGACTGGGTGACAAGGGCCACTGAGGGTTTCTCAATCTGAGCCGACTCTATGGTAATAGAAAGAAGAAGAAAGGAGGAAATTTCAGAGCAACAGTTTCACAAATGCATCTGCTCTTTTATTAAATCCCTGATTTAAGCAGCCTGCATTTAGTGCTTCTAAAAAAATGCACTAGGTAAGGGAATGTAAGAAAGAAAGTATAAGTAGTTGTAAAATCCTTTGGAATCTGTCCTAAATATAAACTCTTTTTATGCCAAACCATATCGTAATTTAAACCATCTAGACTGCTTGAAAACATTTATTTATTTATTTGCAGTAACACTTGGAATTGATCATTCTGTCTTAGTTGACTGGTTTTGTTATACATGTTTTTAAAAACTTGTTTGAAATGTATTAAATAAAAAAAAACATTAATCCTGATCATCCTTAATCCCCTAAATTCAACAATCAAGCTTTTAATACTGTAATCCCTATATAGACCAGTGAGCAATGCTGACCAAGATGTCATGGGGAATCAGGTAGGACCTTTCATCAGTGTTTCATTTAGTTGGGTCCACACCCATCCGACACCTCCAGGAGACTACACAGTGATCATGAAATCTTCCAAAAGCAGAATAACTATCGGCTACACCAACTATCACCAACTGCACACCATTAAAAGAAACCCTGGTTCAGGCAGGGGGTAATGAAAGTATAGAGGGTGCTGGAAATGTAGGTAGGACAAGACATACTAGCAAATTCAGCAAATAAACTCAGCCAAACCCACCTACCGTTGGTATACTTTATCTTCTAATCCAATTCCACTGAATGGACTTCACTGCCTCAACTCACATATCCTTCACTATTCTCCTCATACTCCATACCCTCATCCACTTACAGACAAGTCCCTCCTCTGACAACAGCCCTTGCATCCTACTTCCACTGGACAAATCCTAACTTTCCATTCTCGCGGCTCTGCTTGAATTTACGTAAACTTCTCCCTTACATATTCTTCTATTAAGTCTTCCCAAGGAACAGTCAGCTTTATAAAACAGACTATCTTTCTGCTCAAAGACCACAACTATATCAGGCCTTAGATTAAAAAAAATGTAATACTACTCTGCAGCACTTTCCAGCTAAGAGTTTTATTTTCTACACCATCCTAATTTAACCACCGTCCCTTCTTAGCCTGAGCCACTGCCTTTTTAATCTTCAACATTTCCTTATGTCTACTAACCTGCTCCAAAACTAGTCTTCTTTTCTCCTTAGGACCTGCTCTACTCGACAACGGTTTGCCTGTGTCAAGCTTCAGACCTTTCCGACCAGTTTAAACATTATCCACAATCTCTGTATGACTTACTTCTGCCACCTGAGCTGCCATTTCTGGAATACATTTCTTGCCCTTGGTTGCGTTTGGAACACCTTACTAACAACCACATATTTACTCCCAGCTAACGGGAGTTCTGACCTAACCTTTGAACACTTAACTCTTCTACTACACTAAATACTGGGAGCTGGAGTATGCCGTTCCCATATAGTCCCACAATACTTAAACATAAAAAAACACCTAGCACTACCTTTTGTATGAGCCAACTAATCTTTCCATTTTATGCACAACAGAAAATCACAGAATCACATCCGCAGACAGTGGCTACATCAACCTAGGAGAAAATCCAAACTGCAGACACCACAGCTTCAAATTAACATCCAATAATCTAAAGTGTTTAGCTAATCATTGCCTAGTTAAACACCTGAATACTTTCATACTTTTCATAGCTCAGCAGCCACACACAAATCCTAACTGTACAGTCAGGAGTTCTCATTAAAAGTGCTTAAAAAAATAATGTGTACACCTATACTCCTTTTGATTCTGGTTTGGGCATAAGTTGAAGTTGAGAGAAGTTCTGATTCCAAACCAATTATCAGTTCCAGTTCCAAGCTTAGTGTTTAGCAAATGACAGGGATGAAATGCATCCTTAGAAAAGTCTTTAATAAATATATTTGTTGTAGAGATCAGCCTCTGCGTTTTTTCGCAGTGTCACATAGTTACATAGTTACAATATGAGCACATGATTAATATTCAAAACATTTTAGTAAAACCGTAGAACACTAAAGTAGGGTCATTTTCATCCATACAGTTACTGTCATTCTATTTTCATTGTGTAACTGCTGTCTGAGTTACATGGGTCTTGGGTAGCTTCAGGCTGTTTGCTGATGCCATTAATGGTATACTTGTTTGCCTCCTCCCATCTATGTTTTTTTCAAGAGGCAAACTGTATTTTATCTGGGATATTATATCAGGTAAAATATACCGATGTTAGTAATGGTGTTACTAATTTGAACATTAGTGTTATAGGGTTAATTGATAATTAAAAAACGTAACCACTGTTGATAGCCTAAATAGACTGTATGGAGAGTACAAGATGTAGCCTGTGTGATGCAGCACCCGTCTCTCATTAACAAACAGAGTGATAAGCTTCTGAGTTTGCACGCATATGTGCATTTTGTGCAGGTTTGGCAAAACAGTCTCATAACAACGAAAGGCTTATGTGCAGGAAAACCAAGACTAAAGAGGGACAGTGATTTTCTGGTGAGAACTGCAACACTTCATATAGCTCTCTGCTGAGCAGAACTGCAGCTCAGAACTTTAAAATTTTTGATCTGATCAAGATTGACAGCATAATAATGTAAAAAGAATAAAATACATACAAACAATGCCTGTGCAAGGAAGATGTATCACACCATAGCCACAAGTCGTGAAACGTAAAAATGAAACTTACTAGGACCAGAAAAGCCAGGGGTCGCCGTTGCCTGTAAAGTCTCCCTTCTGTAGTCCCTGTCCTTCGGAAAGCTATTGACAACAGCGGTCTTTGTTGCCTCTTTCTGCCTCTGCTCTCTAGGTAACAGAGATGCAACAGTGGTAATAGGCATCATGTTGGTTATATACCAAGAAAACACTTGTTCGTTAAGATGTGAGCATGTAAAACCAATTGCTTTTAGTTCCAGAAATCATAGCTACCTTTCCAGCCATTCTTTGGGCTTCTCCCACTGTGACACCTCTGTCCTGCAGTTGTAATAGTATTTCTTTCCAGAGGAACTAATGTGCTCTGACCAGTCGTCACTAGGCTCATAAGGCTGAGAAAAAAGGTAAACACATTTAAAAACAAGTGGTAAAAAACCACCATATTGTTTGTGTGAGCTTGAATGCAATGAAGATAATGAAAGCTGAAGGTTACAGTTTGCCTTTGAGGGAAAACTTGGTTCAAAACCAGCATCAGATTGTCTCAGTGTAGGAAAAAGCACCATTCAGAATTTTTAATAGGGAGTCTAAATCAGAGGTGGGCGATATAAGACCAATGATAATATTGTAAAAGTTGCTTTGACAATGTGCTATTTATTATACATTATTGAGCATTCATACCGTCTTGAAAAGACAACAAACATTAATGAAAGTTTTCATCCATGGAATGTGTGCCTCAGAAGCCAATCAGTGGACGAGATTAATTCTCATGACTCGAGCTGGCGACAACTAAGCAAATCAGCAACCAAAACACATTAAGCTGGGCATACACTGTGCGGTTTCTGCCCCTTTTTGACACGATTTTTCATTTGTGCGAAAATTTCTTGGATTGGGCCGAGTTTCAGCTCGCTCGTGCGTCTCACTCCAGATCGACAATCGTATGGTCGGATGAAAATCAAACTGGTTTGAATTTCTGGTCGGCCCTCTTGAGGAAATGGTGTTATTGAACCAATGTTACGAGCGTCTACAACCCGATTACCCACTATCTCTGACACTGCGCATGTGCAAACAAAGTGGAAGTGACACTGAGTATCGGGGCAACTGTCCATGTGTCTTGGAATCAAACAATGGAAGCACAACTTGTGGAACTCTGGCAGGCTCACCCGTTCCTGTTCGACGTGGCCTCCCAACATTATCATGACCGAAATATAAGAGACAAAAGTTGGGGTAAGATTGCTGCACAAAGTTACCAATTACACACAATCACGCAAATTGTCAAGGCAGCGCTTTTAGCTTTGGTCAATCTCCTTCAGTGTTGCTCGACTTTGTCTTCTTAGTCTTCTATTTCAAGTACGACGTGCGTTTTTGGAGGCACAATGTGAGCGGTCAGATCGCATAACAGTATCGAGTCGTATAGTGCGAGAACATAAAGCGTGAGGTTCAAACTTTTAACCCCTACAATTTGGTTGTACAGTTTCAGCTGGAGCTATGTGCAACGATGGAAAATATCGCACAGTGTATGCCCGGCTTTGATCTTCTCAAATTGAGAAAATATGTTGGACTATTCTGTCTCATCTGATGATTTAATGGTGACATGTGGCTCCACATAGTATGGAAAGGGTTTTTGACTAACATTTTAAACACGTGTGCCAGTGACAATACTTGCAAGTGTTTGTCCATTCGATTTTAAATATTTATTCGGTTTACATTTTAAAGTCATCTTAATTTAATGATATTTGATTACAATTTATATTTATTTGTGTTCAAAAGCTCAAGATACTATTAAGCAAACGTTAGTTGGTATATTCCCCTGTAATTTCTATAAACCCTGGACATAACTTGAAGTTGGTCAATGTCAGATATTGCCATAGAATATCATTGGGCTATGTTATGCAGAAGGATTTAATATGCATGTTTTGCAATGGATTTTGAAAAAAACAAGCGCTATTGTTCTGAAATACTGTGTTTATTCACAGATGTCATGGTGAGCAAGTAGGGTTTGACAGCATTTTTTGTTTTAAAATAAGAAAGAAAGAAAAGGGAATATTGTCAGATTATCGTTGTAAAATAATATTTATTTTGTAAATATTGAAAGCCTTTATTGTCATTGTACACAGTACAATGAGATTTGGAATATAACCCATATATAATATCGCCCACCCCTATGTTTAACAACCCCCAAAAAAGGGTAAAAACTGGCCTTCAACTTAAAAAAATTATAATAAAAAAAACTGATGACATAAGAAATAGACCCAATCTTATTTAAAATTATGACAAGGAATTTAAAATAACTTATTTTAAATGCATTAAACAATAAAGCAAAACTATCAAATCTGTGCATGCAAAAATCTCAAAAGTTAGTCCATCATCGATTTCATGCTTAGGCAGAGGTGGTACTTACTGTGTCTGGCGTCCTGCTGGGGTTAAAATGGGAGTTGGAACTATGAATGGAACTATGGTTGTGAGAGTTTTCTTGTGGGGAATAACTGGGTCCTGCAAAAGAAACAGCAGATGCACTTTGAAAGCAACCATTGTCATGTGTGTTAAAGAACTCTAGGACAAGTTGTCACTTCAGCTTTACGATATCAAATTCCTTTAAATTCAAAATATCTTACAGTCTATCTGCCTTCTAAATATCTTGCCACTAGATTAGTCCCTTAGTGATTTTCACAAGTGAATGCCTGAGATTTTCAACAGAAAGTGAAGGCAATTCAGTTCAGACTTTTCCATATATCCTGTGCACATAAACAGCCTGAGGATGCATGCCAGTAATGCACTCTCTAGGACTGAAATAAGAAGGCTGAGTTCTAAAAATGATAGGAGGCAATATTGTGTTGATACGAGTACCATATGTATCTGTATGAATCAATCATTGATTAACATATTTATACAGATGAATAATTTGATAAAAACAAGTACTCAGATTTTATGACTGAAATCTGAAAATACTTTAATAATGGAGGCCCCTGCTATGCTCTTAAATTAAAATATTATTTTGTTTTTATTGTTACCCTAACCCTTACCCGTTTGTCCATTCATTTGAAATAACTTAATCGAAGTGGAAAACCCCCATTACCCCAATTACTATTAACATAAATGTAAGCTAGAGAGGCTCAAAAATAATTGTGGTAATGCTCCCTGTTTCTACTTGTTTACAAGCCTCATCCTTTTTATTATGTGACTGCAAGACACACTACTGTTATTATTGTGGAGTTTTGTTATTTTGGAAAGGTTTGGTTTATTTAAGTCCTTGCATGCATGACGTCAAAACTTTTGTAGTGACAATGTCTAAACTGACATACCCAAATTAAAATTACGGTAACTTCCGAACTGCTTTGACTACACAGATTGCATGAGATCTTTCCATAAGGAGAACTCTATGAAGTTTCTCGTGACAGCCTCACAAACTCTAGGTGATAGAGAGAGTAATGGAACTCTGAAGTCAGTTTTAAAAAATCCAAGATTTGGTCTACCTAAAATACAATATTTTAGGACAAATTACTCTTCGCCTTTATCTGAGGGGATAAATTACATGGTGTTATAAGCTATCAGTGAACCACTATTTCAAATTTGCAGAAGACAGCAGAAAGTATGACTATTTTACAGTAGTTTTTTCCCAGTAAAAGGTCCACTTCATCCTGTTCACTGAAAAATATTCCTGTGCCTCCTGGATACCAAAATAGGTTTTGAGACTTACTTTTAGGTTTGATTTTTTACTGTGAAAAGTAAGTTGGATGTAAACAATTTCTCTGCAAATTCCTGTACACTCTACGTGTGCAAAGGCAAGAATGTTTTGCAGCATGGTTAGGCACAGGTATACAAGGCTTCAAAGTAAGTCAATTAAAACATGCCATATGTTATTTGAAAGGTTGAAATATCATCTTAAAGTTTGCAATGACTAATCTAAACCCTTTATTACAGTGTAGCACAAAAATGCAGTTGAACACAAGCACCACAAATCTGTGTTTCCAACTCAAGGTAATGGTATCTCGGCTTCAAAACATTACTGTTGGTGATCAAGGAACATTCAGTCATCTTCTAACATTGTACTGTATACACCATACCCATGTTATTGTTATAACACAAAAACTCGAAACATCGCCAGAATCAAGCCACACATGAAAAGTGAACGTTTTGATCCCATCCTCTAGACAGCTTATCTGAGCAACAAAAAGTTCTACCACCAGGAATCTTACCTTTTATAAAATTGCAAACTTAAGTGTTAGTGGTTGATAAATAAGAACCAACAATACCAGTTTTAATGACGTAATGCATCTGTGAAACACTATTTAACCTCTCCAACTCCGGAATCCTCGAAAAGTAACAAAAGTTAACTCTCTTAACCCTTTTAACGCACAAAGTAAATTTACTGTCGAAATCTGCTTGCATGCATGATCACATTGGGAGAAGAAACTTCAATAGTTCCAAAAACGATAAATGGCTTCTTCTCAACTCAAGCCCTGAGCACTTGCACTACGGTTTTACTGGCTCTACTTGGTATAATAAAACTGTGCCTTAAAAAATACATAAAATACAACTGTCCCTTCTTAGCCCACCTTCACATTCCTTGGGATGAATATCAGCTGATAAAAATCAGTTCCTGAAGGAAAGGATAACCATTACTCCTAAAATTTGTTGTTCAGCTTCTGAATGCTTTATCTTCTGAACTCAGTCATAAACTAATTCTCTTTGAAACTATAAAAAAAAAAAAAAAAACTGTTAACACTACATTTCTAACAGTAAAATGGCACCGTAGGTCAGCATTAATAACATTTTAGTGATTTTTGTTGTTGTTACTTTGCTCGAAAGCTGAGCTACATATAATCTGCACTTCTTCATCCAAACTCCAAAAGTGACATTTCCTTCATGGTGACATTCACAGGCATAAGTCAGGATGTGCCATGTCTAATGGTGTGCAAAGAAAACACATCTAATGTTTGACAGTGCATTGACCAGAAAAAGAACATCTTAGTCCCTGGCTTCTGTGAAAGTATTTCTTCATGTTGTTATTTCTAAATGAACCAATACTTTTCAACATCATCTTACCTCCATCCCTCTCTCTGGGCCGTTGTGTGTGCACAGTTTTTGCTCTGCTGTTCCCTGTGCTGTCGATGTGTTTGTTTTCAGGACTGTCGGACCTCCGGAGAATTTTACAGGGAGGAATGACATCTGTTGAGTCTCGTGTCTTTTCATGTCGACGGTCCCCTCCTGGATGGCTCTTGGATGAATATTTGAGAGTCTGTAGGAAAAAACACCTCGCCTACTGATTATTACGGCTAAATTTTTGGATGTCCAAAACCTTACTCTTGATTCACAAATACTACAAAAATGTTCAATTTTATTTCGATGTCAAGATTATGTAGCTAATTCATTCTTGCCTCTCAAGACGCCTGACTTAATATATGAATTTCACAGTGTTCCCTTTAGGAGGAGTGAGTTAATTTTCCATGTCAATTCAATATGATACAAAAAAATCATTGGGCATGTACAAAGATTGGACTTTTATCTAGACCTACCCTCTAAAATACAATGTTATGAATATAATTACCTTAAAAGATAATGATATCTGAATAATGCAGATTAATTCGTTTTCTAATGTTGCAGAAAATGTATTTGTTGAGCCTTTCGCTATTTATACAGCCAATTGAGAGCAGTCGTACCGTTCTTCATTGCATTAAATTGAACTTAAAATATCTCATTCTGATAATGAGAAGAAACAATATTTAAAACACAATGAGTCTTTCATATAACTCGATTATTTATTTCAACTGCTAGTACTTTGGTCATGAGAATTGTAATTATAAGAGAGCAGTTACATCCTTAAAATGACAGATTGCGGTCAGGCCTGAATCGGACCGGCTAGCAAGCAAGCTAATACTAACTAGCTACTATTAGCTTGGAGCCGCAATAAGACTCGCCGCTATCTTCTACAAAACCGTTTAATTCGATATACCAAATCATATCATACAACTTTTATCTTATGTCAGTTGCATTTGAAATACTATGCCAAGGCAGTTATCTAAAACGAAACTTTAACTACTTTCCGTGCCATTTTCCGCACTAACTGGGGCCTGTGGAGATACACAGAAGCCTGAACTAGAGTGTCCATTTTAATCTTATTTTCTGCTATCAAGCTAGCAGGCTACGATATTGTACCAAGTACCTGATAGGGCTGAGAATCTCTTCGGTCGCACCTAGAAATAAACAAAAGAGGAGTGGTAAATACAAAGCTTCAGATGTCAGTCTGTAGAAATAGCTGAAAGTCTTCTAACTGCTAAACGTACAAGTTTCCAGACTTATTTTGGTTTAAGTAAAAATGGCGGATTGTCAAAGCATAGCTACGAGGAAAAAGAAAAAAAACGAATAAGTAACGTAAATAAAGATGTTTACCCATCGCCGAGTCTCGGTTGTTTCCTTGCATACATTACCATCAATGCCGTGTTAGTGTTTTAGAGTGAGATGCGAAAGATTGATAATGATACTATATTTTGTTTTTGATTGAGCGACCTAAAATCCCCTGTTATTTCAACCTAGCTTGTGAATATAGCAATCCTATTAGCGGTACTGGTCTGAAGAGCGCCCCCACTCAGTCAAGGTCCCACTCACACATAAACCGAGTCGCTGTGTGTAAAAAAAACATTGACAAAAACGTAGAGGGTGATATGAGTGTGGTTGCCAGATTGTGTGTATCCACCAATATGGACCCCCTTAATCCAAGTAACAGCAAAGTAACGACGACAAAACAGCAGATGAAAAGCAGACTATATATATATATATTTAGAAGGATATCTATGTTTATATTCTGCAAGTGTAATGGTAAGAGTCTTAAGATTACTCTCAGCTGAGATTACTCTCAGCGTATATATAGTGGGAAGAAAACCATTTACTATCACTTATCTAATGTATACCCCATTCATGCATAAATCATGTGATTGCCAGTTTAATTTGAGATTCATAAGCACAAATAGTTTTTACTTTTTATGCCTAATGCATTTCCCTGCCAGTGCCACTGATATCACAACGCCATAATTTTACAAATTAATCTAAAAAACAAACTGTGGCACACAGCTTTTTAAAAAATTCAAGACATTATTAATTTTTTAAAAATACACAACATCAATTCACATCGAGTTTAAAAATCCGTTTCTTGTTGTTGACCACTTGTTTTTTAATCCTGATTTTAGCTGTAGGGGGAGACATCCCACCACCTTTTAGCTGCAGTACAAAAATAAAAAATGGCCACACGTGAACCACGACGAAAAAAACCCTCAAAACTGAGAATAAGAGTAAAACTTTTATTTTGAGGTATTACTTGTTTTCTAGTTTAGGACCGGTACGAATTAGAAACAGAATGATCTGATAACAGACAATAAACACAGCCAATACTACTCAATGACTGTTTTTGAGCACGCCTTGCCTAAATTCTGACCAATAAGTGAGCAGAAAGGTAGATTGGGCGGATTTTGCAATGGACACTGTATTGCAGATCTAACAACAGCGTGTACGAAGACATTTACCGAGGCTAACGTTATATATATAAGTATGTGTTTCAACGGAAAGAATTAACGAAAAACGGTTTTGAAAGTTGAGAAAGACTACTAGAAATATTTCTTCTCGGGGGAACTGGAGTTGAAACATTTATCAAGAGGAAGAAACCACAGACACAGTGTGAGTACCCATGTCTTTATTGTATAAATCCTGAAGATTATATTAAGTGTCATCAGAACACTTAAAACAACTGCGTGAGTTAAGAAAAACACACATGAAAATTGTGTTAATGTTTTAAGACATGAATCGGCAAACGCTGCCAGTAGCTCGCTTAATGTTGGAATAGAATAACACAACTTTTTGTGGGATAACAAACAAAAACTACCTCAAGAGGCACAACCGGATTGACAGGCTACAGGAAACATTTCAGCGACCGTCGTCGTTAGCTTTTGTTAAGATGGACGATGTTGGCGTAATCCTCTCCATAGCCTTCTCTGCCCTTTTGGCACATTTGAACATTTTACCTGATTGGAATCACACCCCCTTTTTTCTTTTATGACATGTGTTTGTGCACAGTGGTGACTGTCGTCAATAATGGTCATTTTGGTGCATGAAAGTTCACCTGCCGTTTGTTGAGAATGTTTTCCTTACTTGGCAATGTTTACTCAATACACTCAAAGAACAGTCACAAAAACACAAAAACAAACAAGTTCAGCTTCGGTAATGGTTTGTCAAGAAAATAATATATACATTACGTCACAGAAAAATAGAGGAAAATATCCGTGTAACTCTCGGCTTTTGAAGGACCATCCCCACCCCAAATGCAGAGTTCTTACTCTCCAGGAAGTGCCAGTGTGCCATGTAACGTGGTCAGACGTAAAACAGAGCTCTTGGGTGTTGGGTGTTGTGTACAACAGTGTTTTGATACGGAGCTTGTCACAGACTGATAGCGCCAAGTCTCTGACAGGGCTGCCATCGAGGCACTTGGCTCATTCATTACACCCCAATCCAGGCATTAGTTTCGCAAGACTGGTTACTATTCAAACGATTTAGAAAACCACATATTCCAGTTTACATATTCCATTCACAGCCACAGTGTCGCTCACACTACAAAGTAAATCCTCTGCACCCTATACTTGATTACCAGGCTTCATGAATTCAAACATTTCTATTAAACAGAAAAACATAATAATAATAAAAATAGTAATGACAATAATGATAATGATAATAATAGAAAAACGTCACAGAGCTGAATATTTAGGAATTGGTATTGGTTTAATTTGTACATTTTTTTCACAGGCTGAGGTTACTCATTTGAGAGTATATTAATCAAGTTAGGGTAAAAGTAGCCATACCAAAAAAACAAACTAACTTGGATATAATAAAAAAGTACTAACTAAAAAACTGCTTAAATATTGAGTAACTACTTTTTGATTTATTTATTGATTTAACAATCAGGCAATACATTTCCTAACAATAAGACCAAAATATTTGGAAAACTAAAACAATAAATAAGATATTGGAACTATACACTTTTTGTAGTGTTCTTGGTAATTGTGAACTGAAGGCAAGGGTGATTCCAGGATCAGAGGTTTAAGTGTTTTCTATTGTAAAGTTTAGGGAAATATGCCAAGGTATACATTCTTTGAAGAACATTTTTGTAAATATTCAGTTTAAATGGATCAATTTGGTGAATTTTCAAAACAACTTAACACTTAAGTTGTTCGAACAATTAACAAGTCTTCAACTTTGGAAAAAAATGTCTGAAATGAACATAACAACAAAAAAACAAACATTCCTGCTTGTCAAACATATCCATACAGTTTGGTCCTCATTGATTTCAGTTATTTATGCAGTCTGGAATGATCCACCTACACACAGACACAAAGCACATTCACACTGATTTAAACAACACATCAACACAAACCTGTGACACAATTAACTTTCTGATTTTCATCAGAAAAGAAAAAAAACAATGAAAGGTTTAAATACCGTTGATAGAAAGTTAACATGATGCAGTGGCTCTCGACCTGAAAATTGGTCTAAATAAGCTAATCCTTATGTGCCTGTGGAAGAAACTGATCTGACTGATCTCCTGAATTATTTTTGTTCTTAAATATGATGAGGTAGTCAAGGTCAGGGACGAATCTTGTGTGGTAGCTCAGACAAGACCAAATGTGCTGGTTTCCTTGTTTCCATTTGCTTTCCTTCTCATGTGGACTGTCATTGCGTAGGAAGAGGGAGATGTGGGAACTAAGATTTTTTTTTCCTGCAAAAGTCAACTCTCAAAATTCACCGAAGCAGCTTGCGGATAAAAATGAATGCTTCTTGTCAGCCAGGCTTTTGTTGATTAAAAAAAACTTGTCAGTCCCACTCGCAGAGTAATGCAAAGAGTTGGCCTCCTTACCTCTTCGCAAGAAGTCTATTTTCTTTATTCAATATCTAAGATATAGTGTAGGCAATAAAATTTATTTTTTCTTTCTCAAGTCTTACTTTTGTAAAAGTTTGCAAGAACTCAGCAATTGTGAAATTAAACTATAGCTTATAGTGTCTGAAATCAAATGTTGCTGCCATCTCAGCAATTTCCATTTAATTTCAGGTGTGTGCACTGTGGTGAACGACCTGTACAGCCATCCTAAGCATGGCATCACTTAAATTAGGAATTTAAGGATGATGATGCAGTTGTTTATTCACATCACAATGTTTAAGGCTATACTGAAAAAGTCTCTCTTACTTCGCACACAATCTAAAAACAGTTCAAACAACCATCTATGTGCACAATTACGCTGATCTTTACGTGTATCATTCCTATGTGACTTTAAATGCTCAACGCCCGTTTGTCTTTTTCCATTCAGATGTTTATTCATCCAATCTGCTTTACATACATAATTAACATTTTTCTCTGTGATATCACTAATCTTTCAATCTGCAATGGATTTATGAACCTTATGCTGGGTGAATGATTATAGATGGAAAGATTAAAATGACAGACTTTGCAGGGGGCTTGGGCTAGGTGGTAGTCAATGACCGTCACCAAAAGAAATGTGTTGTTTCAGTCCTGCCTACCCTGTAAATGTAAACGGTTACACTTTCTTCCACCCAAGCAAATGCCAGAAATGAGATCCTACCTTTGACTGCATTTCAGTCCATCCCGTAAATACAAAATGCTGACATGCTGCACATGCAATTCTATTGTGACTGTATTTTAATGGAATGGATACAAAGATCAACTGAATGGTAACAGTATGAACAATACAAATTAAGAAGAAGGTTAATAGAATGTGTTATAATATTGGGTCTAATATGTTCTTTTCCTTGTATGTTCTTTGTGCTAGATAAGGTGTCTAACTGCTTGATCTCAACTCAAAGCCTTGCTATTTGTAACAAGAACTTACTCCATGTGATATTGTTTTGGAAATAAATATACAAAATGTCCCCACTGCACTCTTAAAAAAAAAAAAGCTTTAAATCCATTATTCAAAACTCAATTTTTTTTAAATGATTGTTTTTTTGTTTTTTTAAACAAAATTGGATTTTCATGTTTTGCCTAGCTTAACTACATATTTTGTGAAATCTTTGTGGATCATTCAATATACTGTGAGTAAATAGAAATAAAATATTCCCATGTGTGGTCTTGTTTACAGGGCTGTTCAGTGAAATATAGTAGCTCTTATGCACCTTGTAGTTTATCAATTTATCTGGATGGAAATAAATGCAAGAAATCATAGGATAAAATATCTTTATTAGAATAACTGGCCATTTTTGTCACTTGACCTCATTTAGTTTACTTGGTCACCTGCTTGTGGTAAGAATAGTTCTTGAGTCTGCAGTATAAATTTAGCTTTAGGTGAGATTTGGAATACTTCTTAAGCTTGGTTGAAAGTATTAATTTGACCAGTCATATTCTTCCTAAATATGAAAACTTGCTTTCATGTTTAATTGAGTTACAGTTGCAAATCAGGTGTAAAATCTCAAACTGTTGACTGATCAGGCAAGTCAAAACAAAAAATTCTGCATTACATTTTCTTTTACACCTCATTATGTTTATTATCTATCCATTAGCCAATTAGCCTGTTTTATACTGTGCCTGTCTACATCTAATTTTTGCAACTGTTGAGAAATTAGAGATTATT